AAGAAAGCAGAATCTGAAATTGTCTATCGGCAATGTAAAAGCTTTCACTAACATGCTGATATGAAAGAAATGACCTCGCAGCTGGCTTTTGTCCATCCATATTTCTTTCGAATCTCCTCTCCTCTCTACCAATGGCCTGTTTTGTTTTGTGTGAGGCTGGGACTTATCTATGAAACCTGGTGCCAAGTGGGAGACTGTTGCATAAAGGCTATATCTCAAACAAGCAAGGTCTTGCCTCAAAAAACAATCATGCCAATATTGTCTATAAACACTTATCAAAATGTTTTGACATTGCTAACATATTCAAGAGCCAAAAATCATATTCAAAAGCCAGCAGCAATGTCTGTACTTCAAACTTACATGTTAAAAGGATAATCTGTCAGAACATACAATTCTGTTTCTATATATAGACATTCAGCAGTTATACTACTTCATAATCTATGACATCACAGCATGTTCAGTGCATTCAGAGGGTGTTCACACCTTCACTTTTTCTCTTGTTGCAGTCTCATGCTAAAATCCTTTAATTCATTTTTCCCCTCATCAGTCAACAAATATTTGCAAACTTAATAAAAAGATAAAAACTAAAGTATCACATTGACATAAGTATTCCATTTAAGTAGTACTTAGTTGAAGCACCTTTGGCAGCAATTACAGCCTTGAATCTTCTTGGGTATGATGCGACAAGCTTTGCACACCTGGATATAGGGATTTTCTGCCATTCTTCTCTGCAGATCCTCTCGGGCTCTCTCAGGTTGGATGGGGACCATCGGTGGACACCAATTTTCAGGTCTCTCAAGATATGTTCGACTGGGTTCAAGTCAACGCTCTGTCTGGGCCACAGAGTTGTCCCTAAACCACTCCTGTGTTGTCTTGACTTTGTGTTTAGGGTCTTTGTCCTGTTGGAAGGTGAACCTTCGGCCTAGTCTCAGGTCCTGAGATCTGGATCAGGTTTTCATTTATGATATCTCTGTCCTTTGCTCTGTTCAGGTTTCCCACAACCCTGACTAGTCTCCCTGTACGGGCCGCTAAAAAATACCCCTACAGCATGATGCTGCCACCACCACCATGCTTCACCATTGGTATTGGGCAGGTGATGAGTGCTGCCTGATTTCCTCCTGACAAGACACTTTGAATTGAGACCAAACAGTACAGAGGGGAGGCCACCCAGATCTGTGCCTCGACACAATCTTGTCTCTGAGCTCTGCAGGTTCCTTCCTCCTCATGACTTGGTTTTTGCATCAGCTTTGAGGCCTTATATAGACAGGTGCGTGTCTAATCAATTGAATTTACCACAGGTGGACTCCAACCAAGTTGTAGAAGCATCTCAAACGTGATCAAGAGAAATGTAAGCAAACTTAATGTCAAGTGTCAAAGCAAAGGATCTGAATACTTGTGTCAATGTGATATTTCAGTTTTCATTTTTTTGCTTTGTCATTGTGGAATATTGAGTGTAGATTGATGAGAAAAAAATGTTTTTTTGGTTTTGTTTTAGCATAAGGCTGCAAGATAACAAAATGTGAAAAAAGTGAAGCAGTCTGAATACTTTTTGAATATCACTGTTAAATATTAATAAATCATATGAAGGGATTTAGGATGACTTTATCTCTTTACCTGCAGTAAGAAACAGGATCTGTAATGCAGACATACAAAATGCAGACAGCACGTAGAGGTAGTAACTAGACAGACACTCCAGCAGAGACGAGTGTTTCAGTGAGAGATGAGCTTTAAGCCTAACCACTCTACACAGATCTCTCAATCTATCTTGAACATACACACTTCCTGAGTACTGATAATTGTTACTAATCTTAAAGAGACATACATACAAATCATTTCACTTCCTGGATATGCCACATTAACCAAAATGTAGCCTATTTTACTGTTAAAGTTTGCATATTAGTCATTGTTAAATAAAAATAGTGGATTACTTCCTTGTTGCAAGGTTTACTGGCTGCAGCTCAACAGTTGTCCTCAATTCAAGTTACAAAAAACAACTCTGAAAGATATGAGCTTCATACTTGAGCCAAATATGCTCTAAATTTGCTCTAAACTCCTTTCTATCAACAAAGCACTCAAGTACTGAGAGGAAGACAAATAAGAAAAAACCGCCACCGACAAGAGCCTCAACCAAAATTCACTTCCTGTCTTTGCATGTGCTCGGCTGCCCGCTCCCTCTGCTGGGCCCAGCCCTGCTATACTGGAATGCAGCTGACAGACAAACAAGGCTCTGTGGCTCAGCCTCTCCACAGACAGATATTATAGAAGATGACTGTCAGGTAAAAGGTATTCATCAGTGGCTGAGAATACCAATGCAGCAGCAGCGGCAGCACCCTCGGCTGTCCTGCCTTCACCTGAGCTAGCCTAGCACATGGAAAAATCCAAATCCAATGAGGCCTCGACTGCTTTAAACAAACGAGTGTGTGTGTGTGTGTGTGTGTGTGTGTGTGTGTGTGTGTGCCACGGAGAAGGAAAAGGGGAGGTTGTGTTGGCGTGTCTGAAGGGGTGAGCGCTGATGCGGAATGGCAGCAAAGACAGACGCCAGGCTACTCTCCTGTGCTTGGTTAAGAGCAGGGAGACAGCACAGCGGGCCTCTGACAGAGCACGTTTTATGGGAGTGTCTGTCTGCTGGAATGCACTCTGCTACAGGCCAGATTCCACAGCATATTCAGGGTGTACTTGTGGCAAATTGGTTCTCATCAATACTAGCCTCCTAACAAGCTAGCATGACTTGTAACGTTAGGGTTGCATGGGTCGCTTGTGCATGAAGAGAGGTTCTGGAGGTAAATCATTTCCAGCCCCGAGCAGTTTGGGAAAACATTAGTCATGATGCATTCAAGAATGCATCCAATCAAGAGCTGATGTTACTTTGGATAATGTGCTTTGTGTGCTCCTCCTCCATCCTCCTCGTCTGTCAACCCCAACAGATAAGCACATCTCAACACGGATTGATTTTCAATAGCCATTCAGATGTCCATTAGACAAATTATCTACTTGCCTCAAGCCATGCTTTTGTAAAACTATGTAAACATAGCTCTTCCTATGCCTAGCAAAGAAGACCCCACCCACCTTACAAGTTAAGTGTGTTGCATGTATGCCCTATCTTCTTGTAAAGTTGCAGCAGCATTTAATTAATGTAATATGTTCACCTTTACCTCCCTCCAAGCTAAAGGGGACACAGGAAGATGCTCAGCACCAGTGTTAACTCAAATTGTTGCTGGAATGTGGATGAGTGACCTGGACTGAATCACTATGGGTAAAACTGATGAGATTACCACCTTGGCTGAGATTAGGCTTTTGACTGAAAACTAATCACCCCTGATTTGGATTAGCCAGTGAATTGGACACAGACATCAGTCCACGCTGCATTCAACAGTGGTATACACGAAAAGCTTGGGCTATGGGACTATAATATTCTCTAAAGACACCCCGAAGCCATCTTTCGTTCAGTATCTGTAAGGTAAATCCTTCAACCACTGAATGCGTTTCTCAGAGAAAGCCCCGAGACGTTATCAATCAGTTTCCTTAAAGCTGTGGTGCCAGCCAGGCCCAGACCAGCCTCGGCTGTCGGAGGCACTGTGAGGCGCTGGTTTAGGGTAAATCAATGTCGCAGCCTGAAGCCATTGTCTTGAATAAAACTATTTAAAATTCAGGTTGATTAAAGTAGAAGAATGTCTACACTATAGGGTGTAATTTCCGTTTCTGGTCCGCGCTGTTTAGCCATCGCCTCCCAGACGGTAGCTAGCTGTTAGCTTGACTAGCTAGCGAAATACCTGTCCTGTTGGGGTGTTCAATTCATTCACAAAAATGTGTGAAATGAGTCATTTTAGCAGAGTAGAAATGAGTTCAGTAAGGGTGCAAGTGGAGGAGGGCTCATTAAGGCCATTTTGTAAAAGAAGAATAGACAGTAAGCCTGTTTAGTCATGTCCTTACCTTGTCCAGACAATTCACTTTTTCCGTGGGGTAAACGACTAGATTACATCTGCCACACAGCGGATTCATGTTGGAGGAATGCTCTTCTTGCTAGTTAGCACAGAAACCGCCGATGATACTGGTTGTAGCTGTGTGCTGCCGAGTACTCACGTCAAAAACTAGCTATAGTGTACAATTATGATCAGTAGCAGACCAACACTAATCTAGTTGTATGTAGCAAATCCAGGAGCTTGTTGTTGTCGTTGTAGCCGCACAGCTGGCTGTCAGTCCACTAACCAGACACGGAAAGCGCGCTCCCGCTGCCCCCCTCCTTCCCTCCCTCGACTGCGCGTGTCCGAGCAGAAAGGGAAGAGGTAGTGTGGGAGGTTCACTTTTTTTTTACTTGGAAGAAAGATCTGATTGTTATTTCATAGGTTTACCCACAGCATCTATACATTTTACACATTCAACTGAGACTTCACCATGTGTGTATGATTTGAAAATGATGCAACACACACTCAGTTTTGCGTAACTGTGAAGAAATCCAGGTCAACCTTTGTGCATGTGCAACATATCTGTCCTCGTCCCATCTGCGCTTGCATAGCAAACTCATGCAATCATCTTTTTTGTTGCTGTTTTTTGGGGCTTTACCAATCCAGTGATCTCAAATCACATTTTTACACATCTGCCACGTTCACTGCATAATCCTACTTGAAGTCCATGTGATACATTTGTTTAGGATGACACCTGCTGACAAAAGGGTTGTACTGTATCCCCATAAACATGGCATTTTTTGTTGAGATTTTCTCTCCTGTGCCTGTAACATTTTATGGTTTTGCGCTCCCTTTATGTGCAACATCAAATAATGCTCAATCTAAGATAAAAACACAGAGCATAAGCCCTGTAAGCTGATATACTGATCAGGAATTGTATAATGCATTGTGTTCTTGCAAAACAAAAGGTGGAACTTAAAACAGATTAACTTCACCATCAAAAGCAGCAGGAACTGAAATTGAAGCACGCACAGATCTTTATTTGTTTGATGTAAAACATCATAGATTATGTGTTTATCTAAAGTCATGGCATGCAATTCACAGTTTTTTGCAGTCAAATTATACAAACTTTAAAAAAGGTGGAATGCAACCATTATTTATTCCAACAGAGATATAAATTTCAAATGAAATCATTTAATATCAAGCTATGGGTAGGTATAATCTACCCAAACAGCAAGTTTCATCTTTTTTGCAATGGAGCCACTTAAAAAAGCTTAAAAAAACAATCATAAACTTAATGCAAAAGTTGAACTGGCTTTGGAATGTAAATGTTTGGAGAAGTGTATACTACACGTTTGAATGTGGTTAAAAATCAGTTCAATGCAAATATCTTCCAAGTTTCCATTCATGGTTTCAACATGGTCCAGCTTCAACAATGCTGTCTTTCTCATGTCCTTCTCCTTCCACTTCTGTGTAACCGGGCTGTTGCTTCTGAAACTTCCAGGAAGGCCAGTAGTTCTTGCGTCGCTTGAAAGCAGAAAAAAACAAGTTTGATGAGGACATACGTCAAGAATAGCTTGTCTCCAATTGGAGGTGTAAGGGCATATTTAGTGCTCACCTGGATGAGGTAAAGTGGTGACGTGACAGTAGGATGGTAGTTGATGTAAAGAGCAACAAGTATCAGCACCAAGAGTAACACAAGAGCAGCAGCTATCCCGGCTATCACTCCTGTGTTAGCCAGCCCTTCACTCTTGGTTGAAGCATCTGTCTTCACATCTGTATTAAAGATCAAGATGCATGATTAAGAATCCTGTCATGTAGCTTGACTATAAAGGCTCATACGGATATTAACTCACCATTGCCTGCGGTAAATATATGATGTTTAGTGTCATCTGAAAGAAGACAGAAAGGAGTAATTTTAATATGTAGTCTGAGCATCTCTTTTTGAGCATCTAAATGTGAAACACTGCCCACATTAGGCTGGACTATACATTGTGACGACACAAAAAAATAGCTCAGCCTCACCATCACTTTCACAGCCTTTTTGCAAAGGAGTCAAAAATGTCACCTCCTCGATCTCTGGTGTGATAGAGGAACCGGTAGAGCTGTCACCCCTGCTGTAATCCTCACAGGTTGCATCTTCGCTCTGCCCACACAGAATATAATGATAATAGGTGCATTAGTCTAAAAAAAAAAACAAAGGCAAGTAAGCAGGTATTCGTTTCTGATGCACCAGCACTACCTCTACTAAACAGCCATATTCCAACCATTCCTGTCTGTGTCTGTCCATGCCATCTGAACACCTAGAACACACAAAATGTATATTCATAAGGCATTAAACCTCCACCTGTGTTAACACCAGAGCCATCAGATTGCCCCACTCACCTCTGGAGCACATGACACCAGCTACAACCAGAGGTTTGGTTGGATGAGAGGCAGAGCTCACAGCTGTCGTGTTGCAGGCAGGCTGCACAGAGAGAAAGAGACGAGCAAGAGAGAGTTTGACTGTGTCGACGCATCCAAATACGCTGAATCATTGAAACTGATTTTGATGTCTTGCCACTGATTTAATATGGGTATAGATCACTTACTAGGCAGTGGAGTGAACTCAACAGCAGAGTAGCTGGTGATCTTTGTAATGTCTATCTCAACCCTGTGGTACTCGTAAATCGACTGCTGTTGGGCATCTGTGTCAGAGATGTCTCAGAGTTATATATGTATAAAACCTTTGGATGGAAGCACTGTGGCTAAAAGCACCTATATGAACACTATTACTGCTGACCTGGTGATTGAGAAGACATGACCATGAAGGCATCAGACAAACCGACCTTCACTGGATGCTCAGCTGAACTGATCACATCTAATGACAGAGGGATCTGGTAAACAGAAAAAAAAGAGAACCCACTTATGCATATTACAATATGGAAGAGCAGTGAACAGGTTAGGGTAAAGGTCAGCTTCTCACATCTCTGTAGCTGAACGTGATGGTTCCTGTTTTGTAGAGCGCAGCCTGGAAGGTGAAGGCTCCCTCTGACTCTTTGCCAGGGAGTATGACCTTCTCCCACTGGACCACAAACACCTCACCTGAAGAGAGCGAAGGTTACGACTTTTATTCTATAATAGAGCAATCCAATCATGTTTTAAACAAAGATCACATGTTTTCAGAAGCAGGGGGCACCCAGATTTGAACTGGGGACCTCTTGATCTGCAGTCAAATGCTCTACCACTGAGCTATACCCCCTATTACATACAGCAAAAACAGTCTGCTAATGACTACAGGATAAAGATCTTTATATATAACTTACAAAGAAAAAAAAGTGAATTCAGTAAAAAAGTTTAACAAAACAAGACCATGTTTGAATATCAGGTAGTATCTCACCATTATCCAGGTACTGCACAGTGGAGTCTTTGGAGTAGCTGGGGTCAAAATTAGCCATTAGAGGGGCGATGTACTGGGTTGTGGTCAGCATACGGTGAGTAATGTCCCCTGTGAAGATAAACCCTGAAAATGGCCAGATAGGAAAACTGTGTAAGACCTGAGAACTACTTGTTACATTGCAAAAGCACTTTCCCGCTCTGAACATATGCTGGGAAGGTCACTAGAACATCTGTTAGAAAATCAAAGTGTACCTCCTGTTGCTATGATAATCTGCCTCAGGTAATGTCCGTAAAAGGGAAAGTCAAATGACAGGGCGACCCGCTGCAAAAAGAGTAGACACAGAGAGAGAGAGACATTTTAATATAGGTTGATATGTCACTTTTTAAAGTAAACTAAATGCATAACTCACAGATTGTAGCCTCTGGTTATGAGGTTATGTTGTGAGTTGTTTTTCTGCAGTGCTAATCAGCTCCTAAAGGAGGAGGAGAAACAGGAAGTTGGCATTTGACTTGGAGTAAGGAAGCTGCAAAATGCGGAGGAGTCTGGGAAAAAGTTGTTGTTTAATTTCTTTCCCTGCAAGATCACTTTTACACATTAAGTAACTCCATCAGACTTTAAAGTTATGATTCTTAAGATTTTTATCAAATGAGACTCTGTTTTTTATTTTTTTAGCAGCAGCCATTTCAGTTTTCATTGGTAGTGGTGAGTTCCCCGTCCTCCTGCTGCCTACCTGCACACGAGGGATTTACATGAAAGCATAGAGCATATAATCTAGCGTTACTTTTCAGTCAGTTATATTAAATCTCATACACAGCAGACTCTCACTGTCCACTGCACCATAGGTGTCACTACTCCACATCCATTCCTTATAAGGGAAAGCCATTTATTCTGAAAGTGAGTCCTTGCAGTTAGAAATATCTGAAGCTTAGAAGTCATTTTTTTCACATCATTGAGGGGGCACCGGAATATGAACCAGGGACCTTTTGATTTGCAGTCAAATGCTCTACCACTGAGCTATTCCCCCTATATCGCTATCTGCACACTTGGTCTTATCGTAACATAGAGATACACACCTGCGTACACTAGCAATCTCTGTCGCAGCTTTCTGCGATAAACATTTTTCCTTGTCTGATGTAACTATTTTGAAAGGATGTAGTTAAAACATAGACACAACTTGGCCATGTAGGAGCAGGTCATCGAGGTTACTGGATGTGAACTTTCCAAAACAGATAATCTACTAAATAACTGAGATTCACAACACCATGATTTATCAACCAAAATCCATATTATCAGTCTCGAGATCAATGGAGAAATGGGACAGCTGGAACCACTAATAAAAATGATTACCCTTGAGTGCAGCTTTAGCTGTATGAAAATATACTAAACTGCAAGCACATTTTCCTTCCTGACTTCGTCCATTCATGATCTGCTGTAAGAGCTGTTTCTCCAACTGCTGCTTTTACACCTGTGTAACCTGGATTGGTTGTTCCTACAAATCCAATGTACTCAAGAATCCTGGGTTTAGTCCATCTGTGTTCCTCCTAGGTAGCTTTTCCTTCCCTGTGCCTGATCCACCACATCTTTCTGTATTAAAGTGAGCTGTGTGTACTGCACAGGTGCCAGGTGTTGGACAATACAGGTCGAGACTGGGCAGGTGCTGACAGCCTCTGGCAGGCCTCTAGCTTTTGGCATGTACCAACAGCTCCCAGTCCCTGAGCTCCCCTAGCAGTGTTTCTTTATGTTTCAGACTGAATTCCATCCTGGCTTTCCCCAACACAAAATGCTAGGGCAAAATTTCAGGCTTCTCTTATTTGACAAGTGCAGAATCAGTAGCTGCCTGTGTACTCGTATACTCCTAGTTGCAGGAATGTTGTACTTTAGCACCAAGGACATAGAAAAGATGAGTTTTGCATGGTTTCATGGTGAAATTGTGATCAGATTTAATAGAAAGGAAATGGGAAGAATGCAAATTTGTCTTAATTCGCTCTAAGGATGATTTACAGATTACAGCTGTTATTTAAGCAATCTGATCATGTTTAAACAAATAGTACATAATTATATTAGCAGGGGGCACCCAGAGTTGAACTGGGGACCTCTTGATCTGCAGTCAAATGCTCTACCACTGAGCTATACCCCCTATAACATATAGCAAAAAACAGTCTGCTAATGAGCATATGAATAAAAATCTTTATATTTCACTTACAAAGAAAAAGAGTGAATCCATGTATATCTTTGGTCACGTTTCAGATTGAATTCTCTCCTTGTCTTATTCAGAAACATTTTGAAAGAATTCAGGCTCCTGGGTACTTTGTTATCTGATCAAGGAAATAGGAAATATGGTTTTTGCCATAAAAGTCACATAATAGACCTCTCAGTTTGTCTGTACATCAGGGCCACATTGCACTAAGCTTGACCTCTTCGCTCAAACATGGTTTCAAAAACAGTCACATAAGCATAGCAGCTTCCAAGCTGTATGTTTTCACAAGCAGGGGGCACCCAGAGTTGAACCTCTTGATCTGCAGTCACATGCTCCAAAGTGACATCGCCCTGCTCGGCCCAGTAAATGACCAGACAGATGATCAAAATGTATAAAAGAATTATGGACCCATTAACAACTGATGCTGCTCTATATGCGCTCGGTCTGTGTATGCTACTTTGTGTAAATGCTGCGCTTTAGCACTTTATCTCACAAAGGACACAGGAAAAATAGACCTTGCTATCAAAACAGTATCTGTGCACGCTGGCCTGTGTGAACACACAAGATGCTATTATGATGAAGACAGACATTAAAGTTTGTCTCCACATTTTATCTGACTTTAGAAAGTAAGTTCAACAGGCTTATCCATCAAAATAACTTACAAATAAATTTAGAAGTGTGGGCATTCATTTGTTAACTCAATGTCAGTTTCAGATCTTTAAGTTCAACCATCCCTCCTTTAAAAATGTGAAGAATCAACAGCTGTCTTAGTGCATAAAGCTGGAACAGTATTGCACTACAAGGATACAGGATTAACAAATTGTGCTATGAGAACAGTTGTTGTATTTGGAAACGTTTTTATCTGTCCAAACTGTGAGTGACTTACAACAGGCAGAGAGACCACCTCAGGGGTTTTAAAAGCACACATGTATGTACAACATCACACATGTACCCAGGAGCAGGGGGCACCCAGATTTGAACTGGGGACCTCTTGATCTGCAGTCAAATGCTCTACCACTGAGCTATACCCCCATAAAAAACAATCTGGTAATAAGCATATTAATTAAATTCTTTATGTATAATTTACAAAGAAAACAAAACAGTTGTATCTTTAGTCGGGTTTCAGATTGAATTCTTGTTCTTATTCACATATATTCACAAAAAATGTGAAGGCAAAAAATTCAGGATTCTCTCATTTGATAGATAAAGAGTTACTCACTATGTGCTCAGTTACTGTGCACCACTTTGTGTAGATGCTGAACTCTCTCTCACAAAGGACACAGGAATAATAGATGTTGCTATCAAAACAAGATCTTTGCATGCTGCCGTGTGTGAACACACAGGATGCTAATATGATGATAATAGAGATCTGACTTTAGAAAGTAAGTACAACAGGCTTACCAATCAAAAGACTTTAAAATAAAAATGTAAACATCTCACAAATAAATTTAGAAGTGTGTGCATTCATTTGTTAACTCAATATCTGTTTCAGATCTTTTCAGTTCAGCCATCTCTCCTTTAAAAATATAAAGGATCATCTGCTGTCTTAGTGCATAAAGCTGGAGCAGTGTTGCCACTTAAGCAGCGCTTCTGACCAAGGAGTTCAGAATAACACATTCTGCTATGTCAAAGGTTGTTACAGATATTTGGAAACTTTACAGTGTTATCTGTCCATATTGTGAGTGACTAACAGCAGGCCTCTTCAGGGGTTTTAAAAGCACACGTGATTGTACAGGACAAGGCACCTTACATGTTTTCATGAAGCAGGGGGCACCCAGATTTGAACTGGGGACCTCTTGATCTGCAGTCAAATGCTCTACCACTGAGCTATACCCCCTGTTCCAATGAGGCATCAACTCTCATTCAACCATTATTAGATTACAATCCATCATCATTTTCTTTTTTATGAATAACTACTAAAGAAGGTAAGAGAGTACACGTGTTTTGTGTGTGTGTGTGTGAGACTCACCACAGCCTGTTTGTATGAATTTGACAGAATGCCATGGACTCTAACTTGGCCGTGCCGGACGTCATTCATGTCTACCCATAGTTCCTGTGTGCGTCGGTCCTTAGGGCCAAAGCTACGCCATGTGTAATATTTGCCAGAATCCTCCTTCCAGACAGAAAACCACAGAGGATCAGAGAGTGTACTGGTGTGACTGTGTTCAGAGAGTGTGTCATAGAGGCATCAAGAGTTCACTGCGAACACGGTTTAATCACATGCTGCCATATGCTTCTCCAAGTGAGTGGAAAAGAGAAAAATTTGCTTTCCAAAAGAGGGCAGTGTTTGACTCCAACTAAAACAAACAGAACATGTCAAAAGCCAGAAACATAATAAATGCCACAAACCATTACAGTCACAAGAAACACTGTGGTGCAACACTCACCACTACGCGTGTCATGTTTTCTGGCAGGGTGTCGATGGTTAGTCCTCCACCCGAGACCGCCCTGCTCATCATAGCGTGGTCTGAGGATGACCTCTGGGCTCTGTGAGGATGACTGTCACCTCCAGTCGACCCTTCACGCTGCTGTGAGATACCACTGTAAAAATCATCTGTCAAAAAAGAATGAACATTGTGTTAGTATGTTCTGGTCATTATGGGATACGATGACATAAGCACTTGCATCTCACCTTTCAACTTCTAAATCCACAGATTTCCACACTTCAATTTTAATAGAGAAACAAAAGTACACCAAAGCTTGTATTTGTACCCTGGCAGCAGTACCACACACTGCTGGGAAACATTTCCGATGCCAAATTTGCTCAGACTCTTAAGAATGATGTTTATAGTTGTGGCTCAGAGCTCAGTTAGTCAGCCTAACGAGAAATTACAAGTTGCTTGCAGCCTCAGCCTCGTGAGTTGAAGCCGCTGTTGAATGAAGGCAAGAACAATACAAATAACACTTAGCCATTCTCAGAAGGAACTGTCAAGTCCTACAAACAGTGTAAACCACATTTGGTAAGCAAACTGGGGTGGGTTGGCTTTCTCTCGAGCCATATATTCAAAGAATAAAATAGAGTCTGTGGGTCAAAGCCGCACTGACGCTGGAAGTTCCTCTCTAGTAGATGTTTGGAGTTTACTTTTGCACTGCACTGTGATATTCTATGGATTGTTGAAAATGCATGTCTGCTGCCTGGCACATTCACATTCATACCAAGTCTTGGAAGCAGATCCAGCTTTGGGCATAGGCCACCTACGTGGCTGCCACGGGCGCCAGCAGCCAGAGGTGTCCCAAAGAGGAAGAAGAAATATTTTGTAGATTTACTTTAAAAGTCTGTCACTGACATCCACTGCACCACTTATTCACAGAGCTCTAAAGACCGGACACTGAGAGAGGACTGCAGACAGACTGTAAGACATTCTGCTGGGGGCAGAATATATAGAAATACCAGTTAATTTAAGTTTCAGTTATATAACAGCAGCAGTGAACGAAGCTTGTTTTACATCCGTTATTTACTGTATATTATTTAATTTTATATTCAGCAGGTGAACACACCTCTGCAGTGCTGCTGTTAGTCTGCCATTTTGTTATTGCTGAGGTCAATGGGGGGGTAGTGTAAATCCCGTCCAGACCTTTCTGCTACAACAGATTCACACTGACATCCTCTCTCTTGGTGTATAGGCCTAAAGCATGCACTGAAAGTTGTGCACTTATGGGAAAAAAAGTAGAAATAAAATAAATATTGCATTAGAAAAAACATGGTCAGGATAGCCATCAGTGAAAGCCTCAGCACCTGCTCAGATGAACTGTAACCTAATAATGTTAGGAACTAGAAAGTAAGAATGGTGGTGCGGGCTATGTTTTTATATGCTTAGCTCTTTTTAAACATACTTGCAGAGTTATCTTGTGTAAAATAAAATGATCAAAGAACACATAATTAATCAATTATTCTGGAAGACTGCAAAATCTGAGAAATTGAAAAATATATTTAGCTTCCACAAAACAAATCTGCTCTGCTTTTAAAAACAATTTCCAGAGTTTACAGTTGTGTTGAAAATTTTCCAATCTTACTTCCTCTACCTCCACAAGCTAGTTGATAAAAGCTTTGTGTGGCTCATAAAAACATCCAAGAATTTGTGATGAGAGACAAGCGTATAATATATACAGTATGTGGCAAGTAATACTTGCTGTTTTAAAATTTAACAAAAAAGGCATGAACAAACTGAAGTGACCTTATTCTGGATATGATACAACTAATACTAAGCAACATTCAGACCTCTGTTGAACATGAATCCCAAATTTCTGGCAGCCTGTTTGATATCTGTTTCCAGGTTGCCAGGGTAGCATCATATCATACATTGTAGAGGGTGAAGTTTGCCAGATACAACAACCTCCAGGCTGCTTTCATTCAGATAAAGAATGTTTTAAAATATAGAAACCAGGAGGGAGTCGATGACTTACTGAAAGAAGCACTATTGTATTGTATTATATAAGTCCACACAAATGTTCAGGACTGTTAAAATGACAGCTTGACATGATTATTTCATGTTAAGTCAGCAGAATTATATTTTAAAAAATGAATATGTACATGCAACTGTGGGAATGAGGCGTGAAAAGTATCAGCTGTTATTTTATATCACAACATTGTCATCTATAATATTACGGTGATTGCGGCTTTTTTAGGTACAATACGGGACACGATGGTGACGTCACAAGCAGACTATATAAACCCCGGGACGGCACATTCGTTTCGCGGGGTGTCGTACCTAACCCTAAATGAGGATGACCTCCTGTGCCCAACGTTTGCTGTTTTCTCCTCTGTGTGTGGCTTTCAGTGAACCACAGGAGGTTTTTTTGTGGCGCTGGGAACGTTTACCAAACAAAAAAAGCCAAGAGCGTCACTCCGTCATGTTCAGTTTCCCGACAGAAACACCGTGAGTGTGGTCAGCCCGGCTGCCGCGAAGAGTTGGTCTCTGTTGCTCCGGTGTCTTCATGGCGGGAGTCTCGGCAACTGAGCAGATAAAAACTGAGCAGGGCGACTCTACCGGGGCTCCAGTGGCCCGGTTAGGAAGCCCAAGCTCAAACACACGATAACTTTGAGTTAAAGTCCGTTTTCTCTGTTTTGTGTTTGCTAGCTCTACAGGTCATGCTAACTCCAGTGTCTGTCCTGCCTTCAATGTTACACGAACCACCGGATTCAGATTCAGATACTCCACGACTCCCACGCCTGCTGCTTAAAAGATCACTATGGTGGAAAAGTGACCGTACGTGAATGGCTCAAAATGGGATTTTCAGGAATATTTGACACGAAAAACACTAAATTTGATCGGTGCCGCGCTCCTGCAGCGTTGTTGCAGCTCTGTCCTACACACCTGATTCAAATAAATAGTAATGATATCCCAACCCATGGTTGGGCTGTTATGGGATGCCAGACGAAGGCAAAAAACTTGTTCTTGGACGCCAGCACGATACATGGCAGTTTCATTTCATTTCCCAGAAATCAGCCAGTACTAAAATGGTGCCGAAAATTAATTGGCATCTATTTTGACTATTGATCAAGTGTCTGAGGTTTTCCTTAAGTTTTTTTTTTTTTTTTTTTTTTCTCCACAAGGCCCAAATTCACTGGCACCATATTCTCAAAAGAGACGTTTTCTATGAGTAAACTGGTCAGAATTTTTTTTTTTTTTTTTTTTTTTGACACAGTCCTCAACATAAAAACCTCTGAGTTGATATGTGGTTCAAATTTTTTTTTCAAATGATATTGAGTAAACCTGGAGCTTTTGGAGTAAAGGTTATCCAAGTTTGGATCCCAGCTCCCATGCAGTGCACTAACGTTGTAGTCCTATCTTAATTATATCAGATTATTTTAATTTTGAAACAGTTTGCTTGTGACATGGCTGAGAACATTTTGCCAGCACAGTTTTTTGTTTCTGACTCATCCTGGAGGAGGATGTGCGTGTGTGAAACTTAATGCAAAGGTATAAAACATCTCAGACTTTGTAAAGACGGGTGAGGGTGGAGACATTTATAGCATATGGGTGCACATTCAATAAAATGTTTGCGATAAAACCAGATTTTCAGGTTTGCAAAACCTCATAAATGTGAATAACCTTATTAGGTACTGTATCTGTAGCTGACAAATTATGACGATTAAAGCCAGACCCACATTATAACTCAAGGTGTCTATTTTATTTGTGTCTAAATGGACATGAAAAGTGAACGTAACTCATTTTTCTAACCACCTGAACTAAGTTTAAAAAAAAAAAAAACTTGAACATCAGCCATTCTATACATGTTTTAAGCCTAATTAAGGACAGCAGAGAGCGTTCTTGCATGCAGACATAGCCTACCTCCCACTTCTCTACAATTCTTTTACTGGCACATGTTAATGAGACAGTGAACAGACAGAACTTCCTCACTACAGTTTTGCAGATGCTCGTTGTTAGTCAGAGAGTAGTTGCAGCAGGCAGCCTCAGCTCAAACGTATAATTAACAAGAAAAAACATTTCAGAATATTAAATATGACATATTGAATATGGCTTATTTTCCATGAACTTCTAAACAGGTTCCTATGGGCACCGGCACCCAGTGAAGCTCCTCTTACACCAGTGTAATGGTAGACGACGTTGGTTTGATGCCCGGATTTGTGTCCTCAGCGTGGGAGGGAAACAGTCCCTCAACAGTCCCTAAGTTTCAGACGTGTGGGACATTGGCTGGTGAGGCCTGTGTTAGACATCACTCTGCATTCACACAATTATAACACTGATGTCTTCCACAGCCATCAAGGCTACAATGCCTCATTTAACAAGTTTGTGAAGTGACAGGCCAAACGTCTTGACCTCATAGGGAGCTCATTGTATTTGTTCACGAGTGTTTCTCTCCACCCTTTGATTCAATTAAGTAGTGCGTCAATGTGTTCGTGGCAGCTCATATATTAAACCTAGATGTGTGATTGTTGAGCGTAGGATCCACCCTGTTATGGCATCTATGAGGTAAGAAGAGAGACGATGTGCGCAGAGTTGTTGAGGTCTGCAGTGCAGCAGATAAACAGTCTGGTTTATAAAAGCTGGGAGGGGTGCAGACGCTGATTATGAAGTTGTGGATTATAATATCTACTCAGGTCAATGCTCCCCCAGCCAGTAGTATTGAAATCACTGGCAGATAACCATAACAGTGATATTGTCTCAGCTGTCCAGGATAAACTGACAAAAACTCACTCTGCACTCATCCATTCCTGTCTGAATTATTCACTGGATCGCACATACTCCAAGCTCTGCTCCTACTGCTGAGTATCCTATAACAATTCATACAAGACAGTACATTAAGTATAATGAAAAAAGTAAACCCACTTTTTTAAACTTGTGTACTCTACCATTTTGATATTCTTGGAAATATCTGAACTCTGTTATTATTAAATTAAATAAATATAAACAACACTAGTATCCTCAATGTTGAACCTGCTGATAAATGCACTCTGATTCTTAAATGCACTGACTTTTTAAAAATGTATTATATTGTTTTTATTGTTTTTATGCATTTATACTTCTTAATATTTTTTTTAAAAATTTTCTATCCTATGTTCTTTTTATCTATTTTTACATTAAGCACTTTGAAGTGCCTCTGAGTATGAAATGTGCTATATGAATAAACTTGCCTCGGGTGCATTAGTGGAAGAAGTATTCAGATCTGAAATCCCCAGCATTCAAAATCTTAATTAAATAAGAGCACAGACATGTCATCAGCATGTCAAAAGTAAAAGTACTCATCCTGCAGCCTCATGCAGTGCACATTGATTTAATAAAC